ATCAAAAATGTGGGTCAAATAAACGAGGAAATTTCTGAACATGCTCGTAATACCTACTATCAAAGGAGCGGTGCGAGAACTTTAGATTGGAATCAACAAAATAATTGAACACTATTAAGTAAGTACTGTATCGACAGTATCCGCGACTATTCCTTATCCTACGAATTAGCGCCGAATACGGTACAATCGTCACTTAATGTAGCACGGTTGTCGTTTGGTCTTGAACTCGACAACATAAACATTTCCAATGTTAAAACTTCGTTCAACATTTATTTATGTATCTTCCATTTTATGTTTATAAAAGCGTAGGTTAGCCGTATGTGTAGTAGCACTGAAGTTACCGACTTAAAACTTTGCAAAATGCCCCCCCCCCCTCCTGAAAAAACTTCATCTCATTTCAAGTAATATTTTACTGCTGAATTTAATGCTATCTGTGGTGAAATGGACAGAATTACCACACGCACTTATTGTATGTCCCGCCAAAAAAGCATACAAATTATAAATGATTAAAAAAACGTAATGTTAACAAGTTAAAAAGTAATCGTAAACGATTTACATAAAGCGCATTTCCACTTGCATTCATTTCCCATTTGTAAGATGCAACTCCTGCTAAAATCGTAAAAATCCGGCCACAAATATGAAAGATAGCGTTTGCACATGTACAATCCATTTTTGACGTGCTACTTCAATTTCAGTTTATAAGAAGAATTTCATTTCAATGCTTTTCTAAATAAGAAAGTTTGAACTGCGCATGCGTAAACCTAAATTTTGAAACTAATGTTAGATTTTCCTTTGTTCCAAGCGCCTAAGTAACAAATTTCATTTAAATTCTTCCATAAAAAAAAGTTGGCACTGTAAAAGCGATCGGACATTTCTAAACAAAATTATCGTTCACACGGACAGATAGAGGGACAGACAGGGGAACAGACGACCAACAGACAGACGACAGACAGCAATACAAAATTATAAACGATCTCTAGGATCGTTAATAAACGGCAAAAGTGTAAAATTATGGAACATGTAAAAAACGGTTTGTTGGTTTTTTTACAATAACTTTTTTGTAAGCGGTACAGAAAAAATTCCTTCCTTGGTGCAAGACTCGACACCATAACGAACCAAATAGCGAAAAAAGTAGAACAATAGCTCTTAAGATAAAAAACTAGTAGCGTCTCAAAACGAGCGGACGGACGGACAAAGTGGCCACAATAGCGCATTTTTTTAAATTTTTGAAATGCGCTAAAAATGCGATAATATTGGAACCAATTAAAAACGACTAAAGATTGGTATAGAATTCCGAGTGCGTACTATACACGACAGTGAGTCTGCGTACTAATTTATGAATTCTGTCACCAGGTATAAAAATTATGTTTTTGTTCTGAAGACTGTAAAACCCTCTTTTTCCGAGATTTTCTCCTTCCAGGATGATGCTCAAAGAAGTCCCTCGACCTCTCGAGTGGGATAGCCGGAATATCAAAGTGCATACTCGTATGTCCAAGGCGTCTTCGATAATTCAAATCACAATTTGAAATTCCAATTTGTCCAGGATATCCCGGCTATCCCATTAGAGAGGTCGAGGGACTTTCTTGAGTATCATCCTGGGAGTTGTCCGAACATATTCCGAAAGGTCTCCCTAATGTGTTACTGCAATACTTATAAAACTAAAACGGTTTTCCAGTAATGAATGTCCAAAGTACACCGTGTTAGAAAAAATTGAAAATGAAAAACTCAATTAAGAAATCGAGTTGCCCACTACTTCCGACATTTCCGGACCAGTCAACATTTGGAATAAATCGTGAATTTTATTAAAAAAAGTCAAGAAATTCGGACTTTTTAATTAAATCTAACCTCCTTTATCTGTTCACCTTCGCAGGATCCTGATCCACCAATATCTTGTATAATTGTATTTACCTCTTCAGGACCATTTTTTACAACTACTTTTGTGTTTTTGCATTCGGCTAACCATAGCTTGTAATGTTTTCCCGAATGCTTTGCATACTGCCTTTGTATTGGTGGATTTTTTTTATTGCACTCCTCAAAATATTTCCAAATCGGTTCTCTTTTTCGTTCACTCATTTCTCACACGTTGATAAAATAACTTTTAATAGACGCTTTATATTTTCGATAAAAAAATTATTTCCCAAATATTCTGTGAAAAACCGGAAAAACTGTTTTTTCGTTTTCTGTTTTTATTTTTGCGAGAAAAAGTGGCAGGGGTCTGAATAACGCTTTTTATTATGACAAAAAAAGACAATATACACGTTTTTTTACTCCCCGACCCCACCGCACGCACACGGTGCAGTTTATTGCGTTTTAGATGTGGCACGATTGTCAGATGTTTATTGCTACTCGTTTTCGGCTGCCATACTGCCGTCTGATATTTGAATTGGCAGTGGATAATGCGATTTGTTCCCATTGGAAAAAGTTTGAAGTTAAGACTTTTGTCCATATATCCAAAACTCTGAAATTTGGCATGTAGCTCCCTTGGGGATTGTAGAAGTACCTACACTAAGAGATTTCCCGAAATTCCTCCGGGAACGGGATACCACGGGGTTTTACGTTTTCCAGCCGAAACTGCAGAAGATAGAGACTTTGCATTTGGAACGTGGGTTTCATTGATGGCTTTAAGGTATACTCCGAAAGCACATGTCGAAATTACAACGGGAATGAAGTACGGGAAAAAAGGGGATGTTACGTTTTACAGTCGAAAGTACGGAAAATAGAGACTTGACATTTCAAAGAACTTCCCGAAATTCCCACGGGAACGAAAAAAAAACGGGATTTTATGTTTTATACTCGAAATTGCGAAAGATAGAGGCTTAACATTTAGGTAGGTTTTTTTGAAAGCGTTAAGGTGTACTCCGAAAGCACTTCCCACATTAATACAGAGTGTTAAATGTATGTTTATTACAGGAAATAGAATGACATTAAAGGAGTGAAAAAGACAGCTAAAGGAGACAAACGAAAAAAAGAAACATTTTGATACAATTTACAAAATAAAAAGAATTCTGAAGAATAATACACCGGTGAGCGCAAATGGCAACCTCTAACCTCCCACCCTAAAATAAAAGCAAAAGAAAAGTTCATGCTGTGATTGCATGCATTGATGGCGCAAAAACAATTTCTATGGCTACATAAGGAAAATGGACCTATTCCCGAACTGGAATTCAAGTAAGGGACCCTGTGTTATGTGTCGTATATCAGGGAATCTCCACAAACGCCACAGATTTGTTTATTTTCTCGATCACCTCAAACGTGGTGGTGGTAGTGCCTCACATACCTACATAAATTATCTTTTTTTTTTTAATTTTTTTTTACAAAATTGCTAAGGGAATTCTCAAAAGTCTAATCCTCCTTATCCCCGTTGAAAGCAAAATTCATGAATTTTTTCATCCTACACGAAATGTGCCATTTGTAGGGCGGGATGTATCCATTATTTTCTTCACTACAAGTATAACAAAATTGCATTGTTGCTTGCTTTTGAAAATCTCAGAAAGCATCAAATTTGCAATTGAATTCACTCAATGAGACAGAGCAGAAGTAAATAATCTGCCTGGTTAAGTCGATTTTAGGGAGTACACTAAAATGCATTGGTCATGTGGTCTATGAATGGGTTAAATGATATGAATCCCAGATAAAGATTAAGAAAACAGAAATCGTCATTTAGAATGACTTACCAAAGGATTTTAGAACAGATCGGTTCTACTATTTTTTGCGCAGGTCACATTTAAATTTGGGAAATTACTAATGTAACGGAAAGCATAAATTAACAATGTAATTACGTCGAATTGAAATGAAATGCAAATGTTACGTTTTACATAATGCATCACTTATATTTGGATACCTACGTTTATTGAAATCAGTTTTGCACCTGTTAATTTGGTAGCTTCTCTACAAGATAACAGTAATCTTATCTTGTTCAAATTGTTTAAGTTTTAACTTTGGGTGCGTGAAGGTTCGTAAGGTGGATAAACAAAAAGTCAAAGTGTAATAAATTAAAAAAAAAAACAAATCGGTAGGAGAATTAAAAACGTCTTGTATCATTGTGTTATTTTCGCACGTATATCTGATGTAATCGTTTTACTACCTACCTATTGTTAAACGTGATATATTTTCTAGGACATTTCGGATGTCTAAAAAACACTTTCACTGCAAAAGTTAATCAATGATTCATCCAATTATTTATTGATAATAAAAGTTAATAATCCGTCTGGGGGTTTGCCCTTGCACATCCAAACAAAAACCGCCTACACTCATTATCCCATTATCAGGTAACAGCAGATTTCGCCAATTTTCTTTTATTCTTTTCGACCATGTGGGCGCAATTACGAATATCTTCAACGGGTGTGTCGCCTAAATGACTGTGATTCATTACAGATGAAATCAATCAAATGGCACGATTGTGTTGTAGGTGCATGCGGGCGCCACAATTACAATTAAAGCATATGGGTGAATGTCGTTTTTTAAACGGTTATCTTTAAAGACCGTTAGATCCGATAATGTATTGCAATTTCAATGTAGGCCATGGAGAACAACGTGACGACATTAATATTTTAGAAATTCGTTTAGAAAATTGGTATTCATTTAAATAAATACATAACGTTGGCGCTCAAGATTAATTTTATAATTATCTTAGTGTCAAAAGGATGTAGTGTCGCGCGTATTTCATCATTACACAATAATGCAAATTACGCAGGATACGACACACAATCGAAGGACCCTTTCGTTTTTTACAAGGTATAGCTAATTGAGGAAGCTTACGAGATTGAAAAGTACGTCCGGTGTGTTTACTAACAGTTCCCAATTCGAGTTCAAATTTGAACAAAATGGCAATTTCAAGAATTTAGAAATCCAGTGGTATACTCAAGAGTCAAGAAACGAGTTTTGTATATAAGATCTTACA